CTTAAAAAAAAAAAAACCCCCCCAAAAAAAACTATTTAAAAACTGGTTGTATAACTTTGGCTAAGCCCCTTAATCTTTCTGGCTTCAGTTTTCTCACCTAAAAATGAGATGGGTAGTTAAATGATCTTTAGTACATCCTGTGTAATTTTACTATGGAGAAGTGGAAATCTTTATTTCAGATATGGTAGAGTCATACCTCTTAAATTAAAAAAAAAAAAAAACTCTAGGGGCGCCTGGGTGGCTCAGATGGTTAAGCATCTGCCTTCCGTTCAGTTCATAGTCCCAGAGTCCTGGGATCTAGCCCTGTGTCAGGCTCTCTGCTCAGCGGGGAGCCTGCCTCCCCTTCTCCCTCTGCCTGCTACTCTCCCTGCTTGTGCTCTCTCTCTGTCAAATAAATAAATAAATAAATAAATAAAATCTTTACAGAAAATAAAATAAAATAAAATAAAAATACTCCTCACATTGCCTCTTCCTAGTTGTATCGGTTAGGATTCTTTACAGTTGCAAGTAATCAAAATCCAAATGGATCTTATTTAGATAACAAGGTAAATTTATTATACAGTATAGAACCATCTCCCAGAACTCAAGGACAGAAATTCAACTGCACATAAAGAACCAGGAAGGCAAATGTCCAAGGCACTCGCCTTCTCCTGCCTCTCCCTCTCTTTGTGCATCTGTTTCATTCCACCTTCTCTCTGTAGACTAGGTTCCTCTGCTTCCCCTGACCATATCGTGGAAAAGAGGACAGCCTGGAAGCTCTTGAATTTAAAAGTTATAGTCCAGACATAAAAAGAGAGATGGCTCTCTTAGTCCAAATGCCATATTCCAGCAAAAGGCTCTAATTGGTCCACAATAGGACAGACGCCCACCCTTGGGCTAATCAACTGTCATCTAGACTTGGGACCACTTCGATTGAACATAACAGCTTTCACCACAATCCTGAGAGAGAGGAGGGAAATTTCTAGAAGTGGGAAATAAGCAGAAAAATCCTACAGCCATACTTACACTAAAATTCCACACAACACAATAGTGTATTTTCTATTTATTAATTATTAAAAATTAGTACAGAGAGGTTCCACCTAGTTTCCCCCAGGGATAGCATCTTACTAACTGTACTATAATATCAAAAGCAGGAAATTGACATCAGTACAACCCATAGAATTTATTCCAATTTCACCACCTTTACATGCACTCATTTGTATGTTTGTATGAAAATCTGTTCGATTTTATCACATCTTTATAGATTTGTGTAGCCACCACCATCATCAAGATATAGAACAGTTCCATCAGCACAAAGATCCTGTGCACAAAGGCACAGTTCAGTAAATTTTCATAAAGTAAACGCACCCAAGTAATTCAGTTCGAGAAACAAAATCACCACCATTTTGGAACACTTCCTTATACCTCTTTTCAGTCATTAGTCTCCCTTAAGAGTGAATCACATATTATGTACCCTTTTGTGTCTGACTTCTTTTGCTCAACATTATGTTTGTGGTATTCACTTATAATTGTTTTATATAACTATAGTTCATTCATTCTTTAATGAACTTTTTTCTATTTTATTGAGGTTATACGACGTAAAATAAACTGCACATTTTTAAAGTGTACAATTTGATGAGCGTTGACATATGTATATGCCTGTAGCAATACCACAATCAAGATAATGAACATATCTATTTCCTCAAAATATTGCATGAATTTTGAAAACTGAGAATGGGACTTAAGAAAAGTGAAACTCTTAGAGCTACATTGGCTTTCAGATCTTTTGCAGAAGGTTGAGATAATATTTACTCTACTCTACTGTTAGGATCTTAATGAGAAAAGTACTTATATATGTTCTACCAAAAAAAAATCTAGCTCGGGGCGCCTGGGTGGCTCAGTTGGTTAAGTGGCTGCCTTCAGCTCAGGTCATGATCCCAGGGTCCTGGGATCGAGCCCCGCATCGGGTTCCCTGCTCAGCGGAGAGCCTGCTTCTCCCTCTCCCTCTGCCTGCCTCTCTGCCTACTTGTGCTCTCTCTCTCTCTGTCAAATAAACAAATAAAATCTTTTAAAAAAAAAAATCTAGCTCTACAAGATCATAAATCTAAATAATTATTCTCAACTGTCACCTAAAGTGGTTCTGTGAAGCAATATTATCTGTGACTGCTGGAGACAAATGGGAAATCCTGACATAAGAGCAAAAACACAATAACACACACTAACATGCACACACGCAAAAGGACTAACGGGACCAAATTCTCGATTAACTAACAGGTACAAACCCCAAACTATAAGTACAGTAATGGTGTTTAGAGGGACACAGACCAAAGGACATTAACTAATTTTATATACATATAAGATTTACATAGTACTATTCTTTTCTTAAATGTGCACATATGTAGCTGTTAAAATGAACAGTTCTAGGGGCGCCTGGGTGGCTCAGTCGGTTGGGCAACCGACTCTTGATTTTGGCTCAGGTCATGATCTTGGGGTCATGAGATGGAGCCCTGTTTCGGGCTCCACGCTCAGCGTGGAACCTGTTTGTCCCTCTCCCTCTGCTTCTCCTCCTGTTTGCATGCTCTCTCTCCCTCTCTTTCTCAAATAAAATCTTTCAAATATGAAATGAAGTGAACTGTTCTTCACATTCATTCATTCACATACCCTCAAAACTCAGTAACTTCACTTAACTGACTTGGCCTATGTTGTGAGGGGATATAAAGAACTCTAAATTTAAGAGCAAACCAAATGCATTAAACTGGAATTTAGTTCATTTCTCTTCATTTCATCGCTGAGGCCATGAAGAACTCCCTTGAGCTTCAGACTACTTTTGTTCTCCAGAGACAATAAACACCACAGATGTGTAAAACAAGTGGTTGTACTAAATGAAGTGAGTAAAAATCCTTGTATATACTATTTTGCTCTGTTCTTTTCATATAGGTGATCTACAAAGGGAATTTTTTCTTCTAAAAATATGTTCAGAACTCCCTCTGCCCCAAGTACTGGGGACACAAAGACAAATAGCACAAGGTTTCTGTGTGTTAGGGAGTTTATGTTCATTTTTTTCCCAAGTTTTTATTGAGATTCCAGTTAGTTAGCATACAGCATAATATTAGTTTTGGGTGTACAATATAGTGATTCAGCCCTTCCATACAACAGCCCCTGCTTATCACAAGTGCCCTCCTTAATGCCCATCACCCATCTAGCCCATCCCCCCACCCACCTCCTTCCATCGACCCTCAGTTTGTTCTCTATAGTTAAGAGTCTGTTTTATGGTTTGCCTCCCTCTCTTCTTTTTTCTCTCCCCTTTGTTCATCTGTTTTGTTTCCTAAATTCCACATATGAGTGAAATCATATGGTATTTGTCTTTCTCTGACTGACTTATTTCACTCAGCATTATACACTCTAGTTCCATCCATGTCGTTGCAAATGGCAAGATTTCCTTCTTTTTGATGGCTCACTAATAATCCACTGTATATACGTACCCCCTCTTCTTTATCCATCCATCAGTCAATGGATATTTGGGCTCTTGCCATAATTTGGCTATTGTTGATAATGCTGCTATAAACATCAGGGTGCCTGTATCCCTTCAAGTAGGTATTTTGGTATCCTTTGGGTAAATACCTAGTAGTGCAATTGCTGGATTGTAGGGTAGTTCTGTTTTTAAACTTTTTGAAGAACCTCCGTACTGTTTTCCAGAGTTAAGGAGTTTATGTTCCTTTTTTTTTTTTTTTTTAAGATTTATTTATTTATTTTAGAGTGTTAGAGAGTGAGCAAGCATGAGCAGGGGGAGGGACAGAGGGAGAGAGGGAGAGAATCTCAAGGAGACTCCCCACTAGTATGGAGCCTAACACAGGGCTCCATCCCACAACCCTGAGATCATGACCTAGGCCAAAACCAAAAGCTGGACACTCAACTGACTGAGCCACCCGAGCACCCCCATACCTGATTCTTGACTGAAAATAATTTTTTACTTTTCTGTCTTTCTGTTTTTTATAATTTTAATCATGGAAAATTTAAACATATACACAAGTGGAGGCAATAACATAATGACCACCCCTTGTATACCCATCACCCAGCTTCTACAATTATTAACTATGATGAATCTCATTTCATCTATAACCCCACTTCTCTATTTGTCACTCACTGAATTATTATGAAATTATTTTTTTAAGATTTTATTTATTTATTTGACAGAGCGCAAGTAGGCAGAGCAGCAGGCAGAGGGAGAGGGAGAAGCAGGCTTCCCGCTGAGCAGGGAGCCCAACGTGGGGCTCAATCCTAGGACCCTGGGATCATGACATGACCTGAGCCTAACTGACTGAGCCACCCAGGCGCCCCATGAAATAAATATTTTTTGAAGTAAGTCTCTGAATCTTGCTTTTGACAATTCTAAAGTAAGAAAGTTGGAGTGAATTAATTCTAGGGTTCCTTCTCCCCAAAATATGACAAAAATTTCATCTTTGACCCTTTCCAGGCTTATATATTTAATTCAACAAAAATTTACTTCATACCCCACCCTCCCACCGCCCACCGCCCTCGCTCGCTCGCGCTCCCCGCCCGCCGCGCGCCGTTCTTCGTCGGTTCTCTCGTTGGTCTGCTGCCGTCTCCTCAGCCACCCGCCCGTCTCCGAGCTTGCGACTCACGGACAGGCGTCCTCGGCGCAGAGAGGCCGGACTGCGAGTCGTCGCCTGAGTGCCCTTCATCTGAGAAGTTCAAGGCACTTGTAGAACTTCTGCCACACAGGCCGTGGGTCTTGCAGCACATTTGTAAGCATGGCTGCCATCCGGAAGAAACTGGTGATTGTTAGTGATGGAGCCTGTGGCAAGACTTGTTTGCTCATCGGCTTTAGCAAGGACCAGTTCCCGGAAGTGTATGTACCCACAGTGTTTGAGAACTATGTGGCAGATATTGAAGTTGATGGAAAGCAGCCCGGATAGTTTAGAAAACATCCCAAAAATATGGACCCCGGAAGTCAAGCACTTCTGTCCCAACGTGCCCATCATCCTGGTTGGGAACAAGAAGGATCTTCGGAATGATGAGCACACAAGGCGGGAGCTAGCCAGGATGAAGCAGGAGCCGGTGAAACTGGAAGAAGGCAGAGATATGGCAAACAAGATTGGCGCTTTCGGTTACACGGAGTGTTCAGCAAAGACCAAAGATGGAGTGAGGGAGGTTTTTGAAATGGCCACAAGAGCTGCTCTGCAAGCCAGACATGGGAAGAAAAAATCTGGGTGCCTTGTCTTGTGAAACCCTGCTGCAAGCACAGCCCTCGTGCAGTTAATTTTGAAGTGCTGTTTATTAATCTTAGTGTATGATTACTGGCCTTTTTTCATTTATCTGTAATTTACATAAGATTACAAATCAGAAGTCATCTTGCTACCAGTATTTAGAAGCCAACCGTGATTATTAATGATGTCCAACCTACCCGACCACCGGGGTCCGTCTGACACCGCTCTAACAGCCCTCCTCTGCACTCCCACCTGACACACCAGGCGCTAATTCAAGGGATTTCTTAACTTCCTTGCTTCTTTCTAGAAAGAGAAACAGTTGGTAACTTCTGTGAATTAGGCTGTAACTACTTTATAACTAACATGTCCTGCCTGCCCTCTGTCAGCGGCAAGGTACTCTGGTGAGTCCCTACTTCAGAGCTTTACTCCTTAACAGATTTTATTGCATAGCTCTGTGATGGGCATCCAGTTTTTTGAAAATGCTCATCCAGAAAGGCCCAAGTCCATGCAGCTGTGGCAGAGTTACAGTTCTGTGGTTTCATGTTAGTTACCTTATAGTTACTGTGTAATTAGTGCCACTTAATGTATGTTACCAAAAAATAAATATATCTACCCCAGACTAGATGTAGTATTTTTTGTATAATTGGATTTCCTAATACTGATATTTGTCATCCCTGCAGAAAGTGTATTGGTTTTTTAAAAAAGAAAGTGTATTTGAAAATAAAGTCAGATGGAAAAATTCAAAAAAAAAAAATCTTCATATTTACTATAACATCTTTCTTCAGGCTTTGTCAATTGATCTCCTTCTCTGAGTCAGTACAACCCATATAGTCTGCACCAATAATTAAGAAGTATAATTATACTTCTTTGTATTTATATTTTTTGTATATTAGTTTCATTTCCCAGTTAGACATTTAAGGCTCATATCTTAAATTTCTGTTGAGCAGTATACTGAAAAAAACACAAAGGTAATTAATTGCTACTGTTTATAATAGTTATTAATTAATTGATGGGTTTTAATCTTTTTACTTTTTCTTTCTTATTTATTTATTATTTAAATTCAATTAATTAACATATAATGTATTATCAGTTTCAGAGGTAGAGGTCAGTGATTCATCAGTCTTCTATAATACCCAGTGCTGGGAGTTTATGTTCTAACGAACACATCTCCCTAGCATTAAAAGGGAATAAATAGTCATTGCATTTTTTTATTGAAGTATAGCTGACATTCAATATTACGTTTGTTTCAGGTGTACGGTATAGTGATTCAACCACTCTATACATTACTCAGTGCTCACCACATTAGTCACCATCCCTGTCACTGTACAATGTTACAACAATGATCGACTATATTCCCCATGCTGTACTTTTCATCCCAGTGACTTATTTATTTTATTTTTTTTATTTTTTTAAGATTTTATTTATTTATTTGAGAGAGAGAGAGAATGAGGGAGAGAGAGCACATGAGAGGGGGGAGAGTCAGAGGGAGAAGCAGACTCCCCGCTGAGCAGGGAGCCCGATGCGGGACTCGATCCCGGGACTCCAGGATCATGACCTGAGCCGAAGGCAGTCGCTTAACCAACTGAGCCACCCAGGCGCCCCGACTTATTTATTTTAAAACTGGACGTTTGTGCCTCTTTCTCCTCTTCATCTATTTCTCCCATCCCCCCATTTCCCTTCTGCTCTGGCGACCACCAGTTTATTCTCTGTATTTCTGAGTCTATTGCTGTTTTGGTTTTGGTTTTTAGATTCCACATATAAGCGAAATCAAATGGTATTTGTCTTTTTCTATCTGACTTATTTCACTTAGCATAATAACTTCAAGATCCATCCATGTTGTTGTGAATGGCAAGATATCATTCTTTTTCTAGGGCTTAGTAATATTCCATTGTATATACTTATCACATCTTCTTTGTCTATTTAATCTATCAATGGATATTTAGGTTGCTTCCCTATCTTGGCTATTATAAATAACACTGCAATAAACATAGGGGTGCATATATCTTTTTGAATTAATGTTTTTGTTTTCTTTACATAAATACCCAGAAGTGGAATTACTAGGTTAAATAGAATTTCTATTTAAAAATTTTTAAAAGATTTTATTTATTTATTTTTGAGAGAGATAGAGTGGGGGGAAGGGCAGAGAGAGAGCGAGAGAGAGAATCCCAACCAGACTCTGCTCAGAGCACAGAGCCCAGGGCAGAGCCCAACACAGAGCGTGATCCCAGGACGCTGAGATCATGACCTGAGCTGAAACCAAGAGTCAGATGCTTAACCGACTGAACCACCCAGGTGCCCCTGTACTTTAAATTTTTTAAGGAACCTCCGTACTGTTTTCCACAGTGGCTGTATCAGTTAACATTCCCACCAACAGTGCATGAGGGTTCCCTTTTCTCTACATCCTCACTAACACTTGTTATGTGAGCAAGTGTTCCTACTGCTGTGAGGTGGTATCTCATTGTGGTTTGATTTGCATTTCCCTGTGATGAGTGATGTTGAGCATCTTTTCATGCATCTGTTGGCCATCTGCATATCTTCTTCAGGGAAATATCCATTCATGTCCTCTGCCCATTTTTAATCAGATTATTTGGGGTTTTATGGTGTTGAGTTGTATGAGTTCTTTATATATTTTGGATATTAACCCCTTAAAGGATTTATAATTTGTAAACATTTTCTCCCATTCAGAGGATGTCTTATCATTTTGTTGATGGTTTCCTTCACCATGCAAAAACCTCTTAGCTTGATGTGGTCCCACTTGTTTATTTTTGCGTTTTTGTTTTTGTTTCCCTTTCTTGAGAAACATCCAGAAAAATATTGCTAAGGCTGAGGTCCAAGAGATTACTGCTTATGTTTTCTTTTAGGAGTTTTATGGTTTCAGGTCTTACATTTAGGTCTTTCATCCATTTTGAGTTTACATTTGTGTTTGGCATAAGAAAGTGGTCTCGTTTCATTCTTTTGCATGCAGTTGTCCAATTTCCCAGCACCATTTATTGAAGAGATTAACTTTTCCCCATTTTATATTCTTGACTCCTTTGTCATAGATTAATTGACTGTATAAGCATGGGTTTATTTCTGCCTCTCTATTCTGTTCCATTGATCTATATGTCTATTTTTGTGTGAGTACCATATTATTTTGAGTATTATAGCTTTGCGTTTTAATATAAAACATGATGCTATAAGTGCCAGAGGTGTTTAAATTTTTTCTTTTGAAATATGAAATATGTTATAAAACCAAGAAAAACAAGTTGAAAATGCAGAGACATCTAGATACCTGAAGAATGGATTTTTTTCTGTATTTTTGTATTTTTCATAAATAGTATAATTATTAGAAATGTCTATGGCATCTCATCACACTGAGTGTCTATCTCTGTGTGCTTGTTATTAACTCTTGTTACTAGGATTACAGGTGCTAGAAGAAAGTTTGCTAATATAGACAAATTAAAATTAAACCAATAATTTGGAAGGTATTATTACAATTATTATCCTATCAAGTTCTTAATCATTCAATATCAATTGGAAGTCTACCATGGGCAAGTTTTCCCAAGAGAAGAATAACCATTTCCAGAAATCATTCTCATTATTGACATTAAAAGTTATTTTTTAAGTTAATCTGTGTTCAATATCTATATATTTCTTTTTCCCCCTGTATATTCCTATATTGTGGAAACAGACTAAATATATACCCTCCAAAAAGTTCAAGGGCACCAGTACAAAACCAGGTGTGTACCTAATTATAATTATCACACTAAAATCTTTTACCATGATCATCAAATTTGTAGATTTTGCTTCTGTTGACATAGCTTCTTAATCAATAGCTTAAGTAAAAACTATTAACATATAAAAAGTGTTTTTTTGTCTGGTAAAGTGATAAACTGTGATAAAAACCTATTCACTTTACACAGCCATCAAAAAAATGAAATCTTGCCATTTGCAAACATGGATGGGACTAGAAGGTATTATGCTAAGTGAAATAAGTCAATCAGAGAAAGACAATCATCATATCTCACTGATATGTGGAATTTGAGAAACAAGACAGAGGATCATAGGAGAAGGGAGGCAAAATGGAACAAGATGAAACCAGAGAGGGAGACAAACCATAAGAGACTCTTAATCTCAGGAAACAAACTGGGGGTTGCTGGAGTGGAGGGGGGTGGGAGGGATGGGGTGGCTGGGTGACGGACACTGGGGAGGGTATGTGCTATGGTGAGTGCTGTGAATTGTGTAAGACTGATGAATCGCAGACCTGTACCCCTGAAACAAATAATATATTATATGTTAATTTAAAAAATAATTTTAAAAAGCCCTATTCACTGTTGGTTGGGTTGGTTGGACATATTTCACTTTGTATACTGATGTCTGTTGCCAATATGTAGTCAATTAAAGCTCTGTGCTTTAGCACAAAAGTCTCCTATTGCTCCTCTAGTCACCTTTCCGCTTCTTTGTAGACTGGTCAGGAAGCTCTTACGTAAATAAACACTTACACTGAAAACCATGAAGTGTATTTTGTATTACCTGATACAGCTTCCACATAGTCCTCCTGCTCCATTCCTTTCACGGGCTGAACCTGCTCTTTGCAACCCTTACTATCAGTCTCTGAGGAGTTGAACCTGCCACACAAACCAGCCACAACCAGGAGAATCTCCAGATGAGGCCGTCTCCTGCTGTAAGTCACTGCAGTGATTGAGAGTGGAAGGAGTGGAAGGAAGAAGAGAGGGGTCGAAAGACGGGAAAGTCAGAACAACATGCTTTTCAACAGGGGAAGAAAGATAGATTCTGCGTACTGTATTCTGGCAAACTTAACATTTAAAAAGTTAAGAAAAAGGAAAAAGATGAGGATGGATTTTCTTCAATGATCTGAGCGCACTCAAAGGGCAGGACACTGATTACTTGGAGCCGACATGAGTTTACTGAAAACCGGGTAAGCCACACTAACTTTATTTCCTTTTCAGGTAATATTGGGAGATTGGTCGTAAAGGGAGATGCTATATGAAGGGTGTAAAACAGTGAACTCCTTGTGGACAAGATGAAAAACTATGAATCAGATTATAATGCAGTTAGACCTTGCTTGAATGACTTTGGCCCCCAGAAAAGCAGATAAATGTTCTCTTGGACAAGTCCTTCATTTATGCTGCAAGGGGTTGGACTGTCATGGACTCTACTGCACTTCACATTTTTTATTAATGGCTTGATAGAAACGCACACATAATTACATTTGTAGATCACATGTAGTTAAGGATTACTAACATTGACACTAAAGATTTATTTGATAAACTGTTGTAAATGCCAGTATTTCAGTTAAAAATCAACTCTACAAGTATAGTTCAGGTAAACATGTCCTCAAGGAGAAGAATTTTAATAGACTACAATCTTGGGCTTCATTAATTCAAATTCAGTGCGTAGAACCAGAGGGACATTGGCCCTATCTATTCTTGCTTGATTAAACAACATCATAGTTTCAAAAAAGCATTGATAAACCAAAAGTATCACAAGAGGCCAACAAGGTTAACAGGAATTTGAACCTATGTTTTATGAAACTGCTGAAGAAATGGCATATTTTCAGATACCTGAAGGAGAGTTATGTGGCAGATATTAAACTTAGCATTTGTGACTTCAGAGAACAAAACCAGGATCAATATATAGAAACTACATGTGGACAAAACTTAGCTCAATGGAAGAGCTTTCTAGCCATTAGGGTTGTGGGCTCTTTTGAAGGTGTGGTAGACGTACTAATGATGTCTATATCTTAATCC